CTCCTCCCTGACAGAGCATGAGACTCGGAAAGTCCTTGGTCAGACTAAACATTCTGACCAGTAACTAAAAACATCGGTGTTATCAGCGCTGTTCCCAGCCCAAAAGTCAAAACCACAGTGCTGCACAAGCTACTAAGAAGGAGGAAAATGACTGCTACTGCTGAACCCAGGACAGTATCCACCCCTTATTCCATACCATTCACATCATGCTCAGATCCCGCATTTTCAATATACCATCATTTTTATATATATACATATATATATGTCCACAGAGAAAGAGATTATTCCTTAGTGCATGGACCAATTCCTATAAAGCTGCTGAGTCCATTCAGTCCATGATGTCGGGCTCCATCTCTTGTAACAGTCTTTCAGAGCAGGAGAGGCTGTGTGCAGTGTTCACACTCCTGAATAACCTGGGCAATAGTGTCCATTGCTAAGTCCACCCCTCGATCATGAGTCCATCTCTATGTTGCATCCCTGCCATGATAGCCTGAGGAGTCATGGGCCCACCAGGCTCAAAATAATTCACCCTCCCCTTCAGCAGTTTCTGCAATTTGTCGCTGGGGACTCCATACAGCTGCCTTCCATCTCTGATGCTTCCAAAGCACTGGAGGGGCCCAGTGGACTAGGTACTTGCCCAATACAGTCCCACACACCCTGCCACTCATAACTGTCCAGCCTCGGGGAAAATCTCTTGGTTCTCGTATATTGTCATCTAACCCTAGACAAGACCCAAACACGACTCCGCTTAACTTTCAAGATCAGACAAAATGGTCGTGGATAAAACACACTCTGTATGTGTGCCAACATGGTGATCCCCATCACAATCAGCAGGCAGGTCTCAAGGGTACCCAAAAGCCATTCAAAACCCTCAGAACTTTCAAACGATGCTGCTGTACTTGCCACTGGGGCTGGTGTAGCTGCACTGTCTGCTGTAGTTGGAGTTTGAGTAGCTGCTGTACTTGTCTCTGGGGGTGGCGTAGTTGCTGTGCTTGGAGTTAGAGTAGCTGCGTTATCTGTTGTAGTCAGAGTTTGAATAGCTGCTGTACTTGTTGCAGGGGTGTGTGGGAATGTCTCTCTCACTGGCTGACCACCCAAGGAGGGGAAAAAAAGATGTGTAAATGCCATACACTTCTATTATATACCTCCCAAAGTATAGGAGTGGTGACCACACTCGGAATGCAAGCCAGATCAGTTTCATGATCAATGAGTCTATTGAATTACAAGTCATTACCATAAAGTACAATGAAACAAGAACCTTAGCTCAAGACCCCCAGCTGATAAACACTAACATAGCAAATACTGACTGTAAGTAAGGTACAACATGCTGAAATTCTGAGATCAAGAGCAACAACTTTGAGAGCCAATAAATCAGCATTGTGATGAGTGACTGTTAATCTGAAACAATGAATGCTTATACGATTAGACACACACCAGTCAGATGTGTTGTTACCTCAACCCTTCGTGCCCCACACTGGGCACCACAAAGAACTGTAGTGGTTTAAGCCCAGCCAGCAACCCAGAACCACGCAGCCACTCACTCACTCCCTCCCCTTCCTCCCCCTGCTCCCGGAGGGATGGGGAGAAGAATTGAAAGAATGTAATTCCCACGGGTTGAGATAAGAACAGTCTAGTAACTAAGGTATAACACAAACCACTACTGCTACCACCAATAATAATAATGATAATGGGAATAACAAGGGAAGAGAATATAACTGCTCACTGCCTGCTGACCGATACCCAGCCCAACCACGGCAGTGATCTAGCCCTTCCACGTAACTGCCCCCAGTTCTACATCCTGGCCATGACATACTGTGGTATGGAATACTTCTTTGGCTAGTTTGGGTCAGGTGTCCTGCCTCTGCTTCCTCATGGCTTCCCCTCCTCCCTGGCAGAGCATGAGACTCAGAAAGTCCTTGGTCAGACTAAACATTCTGACCAGTAACTAAAAACATCGGTGTTATCAGAACTGTTGCCAGGGTGAAAGTCAAAACCATAGTGCTGCACCAGCTACTAAGAATGAGAAAAATGACTGCTACTGCTGAACCCAGGACAGGTGTGCACAAGTCTCGCTCTCAAAAAGTGTTTTGATAATCAAGTATATTGGTATAACATAAGCCAAGACGGATTAGCTTTAATTCCACAATACCTGTCCAGGTTGTGTTCTGAAGTAAGGGAAGAAGCAAAGTTTTCAGAAACAAATGCATTTTGTGTCTGATTTTTGCAGCTGTGTGAGATACCAATACAAGCATATCTCACTGTTTGCATGTGTACAGAGAAGAGGTTTCAGGACAAATGTTGCTAATACTGGCCGCTAGTTGGCATTATTGATATATCCCAGTAAAATGGAGCTGGTGCAATAGAAACCCGTGAGGGCAGCACTGGGTGAGCTGAAACTTTCACCAGCTCTGGAGGGTGACGGGTTGCACTGAATTTGGTCAGAGCAGGCAGAAACCACCTGGGCACCACAGCCTTGTAATGCCTTCCCAGCTGACCCCTGCTTTTCCACAGTTTATGTGGAAAACCCACTATGCTGGGTTTCCAGTCAGAAGAAGCTGTGACAAGCTTTTAGCCACCACCCTGCCCTGGAGGAGCTTTCTTAGGGTGAAGACATCCCACAGGGGTTTGGTCACCACAGATGTTACATAGTGTTTGGGCCAAAACAACAAATACTCAAGGTCTGCAGCATTAATAACTACAATTTGTAGATGTAGCAATAATTTACCAGTAACTTGCATGGAAGCACTTTGAGAGCACAAAGCTGCTGGGAGCCAGCTCATCTTGTGTAACCGATGGGTGTGTGTATTTTTGAAAGAGCCTTTTGTTATGGAGCTCAGTGGAATTAGACTTGTCTTAATCTTCTTTGACTAGGAGTAGATTTATGCCAGAAGACCTGATAAATAAGATGTCACTGACGAAACAAGTATAAGATGAGGTATCAGAGTGTTGCCTGAAGCAGATTTTGCTTGGTAAGAGGAGAGCAAGTCACCAATTCACACTTCAGGAAAGTAGGAACTTTGGAATAGAAGAGAAAAAGCAATTCCACACTCTGATCCACTGGATCTGCTTTTGGAAAGCTGGGTTGTGGGTCCACCCCTCGGCCACTGAGCCTGCAAAGAGTGTTCAGGGGCTGAAGGATCTCTGAGCAGCAAGTGCTTTTTAATGAGGAAATGCTGAAAAGTGTGTACCTAAGGCTAAGGTATCATAACTGAGATCTCAGGCTTGAAGAATAGCAGTGACCCACCTCCTTGTGTGTTTAAAACATACAGCTTGCTTTCACAAATCCTCACTTGCATAAAGAAGTTTGTGAAATGAGGGAGAAGGTGTGCTTGGGAGATAGCTGCTGATTAGGGAGCAAGTGAGTTTTCTCCTTTATTAGGCTGTGCTATTTCTGGCACTACTTGGCATCTGGTTTCATTTTATGGGTCACATTTGCAAATTGTACTGTGACTGCATGAGTCAGTTTTACACAATGGTGTAAAACAACAGCCTTTGGAGTAGAAAAATGCTGAGCTAATTCCCAGTGAAACCCTTCCTTCAACTGACAGCAGAGGAAACACTTGAATAATATAAAGTAATTCACTCCTGCCTCCTCATGGGCTGATTAATATAATTTCATGTTGCACCTGTCCCATGTTTTTTTAATACAACTAAAACATGTATAATAATCTAAATTATAGATCTCCAATTTGCATAATACACTTTAGAAATACCGTGTTCTTTCACTACATATTTTTTTTGGCGGACACAGAGCTAAAAACATCTTGATCGCAGCCTCATGGACAAAAAAGCACACTCGTGTTTTAGAAGATTGTGACCTCAGTGGAAAAAAAAGAAAGCAGAAATATTGGTTTGAGAAGTAGAAATCTGAGAAGTCTCCCCTGTGAATATGGGTAATAACTCAGCTGTGTTGTTAACAGTAATCACAGGCACATGGTTTTGCCCAGTTTTTGTTTAGGCATTGTATTGCTTACCCACTTCTCCCTGCTTCTTTTGACCACGAGGCTTTGCCATCACAGTATGGTGCAACCTGTAAACAAAAAGATTTCTGTGTCTGTCTCCTGCTTATCACAGCCTTTGATACCAGAGGGAAAGATGTGTCTCATCTCTGCTGTGAGTAACTGCTCACACTCCCCTTCTCTCTGGATGCCGCACAAGACCAAAAAAATCCCCATGCTCCCAAACTCGTGTCCCCAGAGCAGAGGCTTGGTAGGAGCGGCGTGGGTGATCCCATGCCATCTTTGTGCTTGGGCCAAGGGGTACATGCCAGAGGGGATACAAGCCTGCATCAGCAGTGGTGGGAAACTGAGGGTGGTGCTTGTGGTTTCCATCTCTGCAGCTGCACGAGAGGGTGGAAATTTGGGGTTGCATGCTTCACAAGTGAGGGCTAAAAGGCTGCAGGAGGCCTCCACAGGAGAGGTCAGGGTGCAAGGTGGCACCCAGCTCTATTCATCCCCATCACAGAAACATAGGATGGACTGGGCTGGAAGGGACACAAAGATCATCTAGTTCCAATCCCCCTGCCATGGGCACCTTCCACTAGACCAGGCTGCTCAAAGCCCCATCCAACCCAGCCTTGAACACTGCCAGTGATGGGGCAGCCACAACTTCCCTGGGTAACCTGTTCCAGTGCCTTACCGCTCTCATAGTGAAGTATTTCTTCCTAATATGTAATATAAATCTATCCCCTTATTAGCTTAAAGCTATCCCCCCTTGGTTCTGTCGCTACTGCTGCCCGTCTTCAGCTTTCCTTTAGGGTCCCTCCATGTCCGGGGAGACTGCTCTATGAGCTCTCCTATTTCCAGGCTGAACAGAGACGATGATCCCCACCACGCCGCCGATGCCCGGCACCCGAGCTGGGGAGCTGTGGAGCCCGGCCGGGGCGGGGCGATCCTAGATCACGTCTCTTCATGTCGTGTCGCCCCGCCCCGGGCACGGCCACGTCCCACCGCCCCTGGGCGGGAGGGCGGAGCCACTATAAGTGCCCCCGCCAGTACTGCCTCACCCTAGTAGCTGGCGCGTCGACTGCCCAACCCTGGCTGCGCCTGTGGTCACTCCGCCGCCCGCCGCCCTCCTCCGCCGCCCGCCGCCCCGTGGCACCGCCATGATCGTGGAGAGCAGCCGGGACGCGGCGCCCGATGGCGGCGACGGCAGCGCCCTCAGTAGCCCCATCAATCTCACCTACTTCTACGGGGCGTCGCCCCACTCCAGCGAGGGCAGCTGCTCGCCGGCGCACTCCGGCCCTGGGTCGCCGGGCTCTGACTCGGACCTCTCGGTGAGCAGCCGCGGAGGCGGCCGGAGGGACCCCCGGGGCAGTGCCCGCCCCGCTCTGCAAGGTACTGCGTCCCCCCTCGGCGGTTCCGGCCCCAGCGGGGCGACGGAGGGAGCGAAGCCGCCGCTTCTGCCCCGTCCCGTTCACACCGGCAGCGAAGCCGGTCGCGGACCCCTCTTGGTTTAAAAGCCCCGGAAGCGGTGAATAAGAGGGAGCTTCGCTTCTGCCAGGACCGTTCAGCCGGCGCTGCGTGTGCAACGCCCGGTTCTTGCGGCAGTGGGGTCCCTGCTTGAGGCGATGGAGGGGGGAGCAGGAGCATCGCCTCGGCTTCTCTCTGTTGAAATAGGGAGTTCAGGGGGGTTTCCACGAGCGTTCCCGCTTTTCTTTGTTTGTTTTTTTTTTTTTAATTGTTAAAACGTGGAAACGGGATCGATGTCTTGAACTCGGGGTTTGCATTCGTGTTCCAACAGCTGAACAGCACATGGGGGGCGGAAAGCAGCACAGGGGACCTTTCCAGGGGGTTCGTGTGAAGAACTCCGTGAAGGAGCTCCTGTTGCACTTCAGGAGCAGCAAACAGATGTCCTCGGGCTCCGCCACAGAGGAAGGCAAGGTAACTAGCATTTTTCAGCAATAACATAATTGCTTGAAATGCTTGATGAAGCTGGCAAACAAACAAACAAAAGAAATAAAAAAAGGCGTGCGATAATGCCAGGAAGGAGCTTGTTGGTTTATCTGGTGTGGATGGAGTCAGTATTTTTCCTTTTCAATACGTAATGGAAGAACACAGCTGGGAAGAAATTAGCAAGGGGGTTTATTGTGGGTGAAGGAGGCACTTGAAAATGTTTTTACTAAGCTTTATTTTCTGAAGGGAGTTTGGATAAAGATGTGTTTGTGTTACGAAACCACAGAAACTCCCTGCTAACTTGGATGAGCTCATTCATTGTACAAGTTGGGGAATCTTCTCAGAAGAAAATTGTTTGTCATGCTATTGTGCTCCTCTGTGAGGAACATGCAGTATAAAGGCAGACACCACCACCCCCCCACCCCACCCCACCCCCCCCCCCCCCCGAAAAGACGAAAAACAATAACAATACAGGAAATTCTGGGCAGATTAAAGGTTTTCTTTTCTGAGTGTATGTTTGCCACAGGAAAAGTTTTGCATGGAAAAGCTCATGGCACTGAAGAAGTGTAAAATAGGCTTACTTATTAAAAAAAAAAAAAATTCTCTGACCTCCGTAAGGAGTGCTTTTCTCTAAATTTTCTTGAGTTTGTGGTATTGTAATGAATAGCTCAAAATAAGAAAAATATTTTTTGTTTAAGTTCCATGTTTCAATTTTTTAACCTTAATTAAAAGCAATTAAATTAGGGTTAGGCAACCATGTACTAGAATTATTCTAAGGTATAATCTATGTTTATAAAAGCAAATTGTTGCTGATTTCTTCTTGGTTTTGTTTTCTCTGAAATATCGTAATAATGGAATAATCTGGATTTCTCTCAAAAGGCGCAAGGAGGATTGGTGAACTATGACCAATACACAGGTAAAAAAATACCCTTATACATTTATACCTTTTTAAAGTTTGATTGTGAGAGTAACCTCCAAATGGGTTCTAAATCTATTTTCTGCTCAGCAGAGCTGAAGAGCATACTAGGTCACAGTGGCAAAAGAAAGGCTCCAGAGCTGCTTTCTGATGGACTGTCTTTTAAGCGCCAAGCTAATGTTCACCCACACCTCCTGGTAAGCTTTGTGTGATTAGTGGCTTCCAGAGCCAACTCGCCTCCAACTTTTGGGGTCTTGTTTGGATTTTCCTTTTTCTTTTTTATTCTTGGCAGACGCCACCCCAGACACCAACTTCTATGGATAACATGGAGGAGACTCATAAAAACAACCCAAAGCATGACAGCAATTCCGATCTTCTTCAGAACATTATAAACATCAAGAACGAATCAAGCCCCATTTCTCTGAACACAGTGCAGGTCAGCTGGTTGCCCACTGTGTCTAGTCACAGCTCACCTGGTGAGCAGTACCAGGAGAGCCCAGGAACACAGGCTTTCTCCCCATCCCAGAAGTACCACGCATTCCAAGATCACACCTCGCAGCATATGCTTGATCCGCCGCAGCATTACCAGTTTCCTCCATCCCAGAACCAAGATTTGTCACAGACCTATCCTTCAGATGCCTCCCTGGAGTACAGGCCCTTTGCTGCCAATGACCAGTCTCCTGGCTACCAGCAGAGTACCTTTGAGAGCCATGAACTGCAGTACTGCCCATCACAGAGCTTCTCCTCCCTCTTGAACGACTCTGAGGGTTCAGAGGGTATCTTTGCTCCCCTCCAGCCACTGAGCAGTGCCCACCTGCAGCCTGATGTCAGCCCCCACCCTCCAAACTTTAGCTTGATTTCCAGTAACATCTGTGGTAGTCTGGAGCGCAGTGTCTCTTTGGCTACTCTGAATGTCTCTCTACCTGACCAAAGCATCACCAGAAGCACGACTCGGCTGGGAAAGTCATTTTTTCAGTGGCAGGTAGAGCAGGAGGAAAACAAACTGGCCAGCATTTCTCAAGAACAGTTCCTTGCAAAAGACTCTGATGGAGACACGTGAGTGCTCTTTACCTCTGCATTTCTGGTGTGAAAGACTGGGGGATGTGTCTAGGGTTTGGTGGATCGTGAGCTTGTAATGGAAGCAGTTCATTAGCAGTGTTTGTGTCATGAGTGCAGTAGTTTCACCAAGTGAAAAGTCTTGCTGGTGGGCTGCAATGCACAGAATTGCAGCACACTGACTGGATAAGGTGTTTGTACTGTATAAATTCAGGTTCTTACCATTAGACTTCAATGTAGTAAATGGGGAGGAAAAGATTCTAATTTAGATGCTTTAAATTGCCCTGGGAACAAGGTATCTGTGTTCCTGTCTTAGTCATGCAGAGAAAGGCTGCATAACACCCCTCCCATATGTTTGGATCTCTGTAATGTCTTGATCTGTAGTTTGTATGATGGTGTAACTTTGTGTTTTACCTCTTTCCCACAGCTTCCTTCACATTGCTGTTGCCCAGGGCCGACGAGCACTCTCCTATGTTCTTGCAAGGAAGATGGCTGCCCTGAACATGCTGGATATTAAGGAGCACAATGGCCAGGTAAGGTTCTCAGTCTGTGCACCTGCTTGGTGCACCTGAGTGCTTCTGCATGTCTGGACCTTGGGGAAGATGTGGTGAAATGTTTATTTAATATTAACCCTGAGATTTAGCCTGCATACTAACATTAACCTTGAGCTATTAATACTTCCTGGGATCACCTTGAGCTGGTAAAACACTGTGCTCTGCTTCATTTGTCCTGGCTTCCTGGTATTCATAATCACTGCTTAAATAAAACCAGGTAGCTAGGCTTTTTATTTGTTTTAGTTGCTCTTTCCTGTTAGAGATCAGATGACTAATAGTTTGAGTTTTCTTTTTGATTTGCAGAGTGCTTTCCAAGTTGCTGTGGCTGCCAATCAGCATCTCATTGTGCAGGACTTGGTTAGTTTGGGGGCTCAAGTCAACACCATGGACTGCTGGGGTAGAACACCATTGCATGTTTGTGCTGAGAAGGGGCATGCCCAGGTCCTTCAGGTAAGACCAAGCAGGCATAGTTCTGCCCGGACGGTTAATGCTTCTACATTGTATTAGTTGTCTTGAGAAACTCTGGAAACGCCACTCCTCCCTTTTTATTTCTCTGTGTAGCCTTGTGAGTATGTCTCAGGGTTCTATGGTAATGGCTTGAAGTGAGACTGAATTTCACAATCAAGTTCTCACTAATGTTTTAGAGTAATTTGGTGGAATCTTCTAGTCTATGAAAAAAAAATCTCGGTGCCATTATTTATTGTAACTTTGTTGCAGTAAGGCTGTATACAAGCTTGAGGAAGGAATATGTGGTTTGGATAAGACCTAAATGCATACCTGTTCCCCCTTTTGTAGGCAATCCAAAAGGGAGCTATGGGAAGCAATCAGTATGTGGACCTTGAGACAACAAACTATGAAGGTAAGTAGTTAAGAGGTTATAATTTACAGAGTTATAGGATGCTATAATGTTTAATAGCTGCTGATGTGATTGTTATCATGGGTTGAGAATCAATAAAATTGAGCATATCTTTGCCAGGTTGAATTTCACAATTACAGTTGAAATTACATTAGAATTGGCATATCTGTCAGATAAAAAAGTGGTTAATCTGTGCCTGTCAGGACCTCTTTCCTCTTACATGCAATTGCTGTGTTTGGCATGGAGAGTGTAGGTAATAATTGGCTATTATTTAAAATATTTGAGTGCCAGCAATGTGTCAGTGGGTGCAGAACCCAGAATCTTCGGCAGCAGAGATTCCATTATAACAGCTCTTTCTAATGTGCATGTGATGTTTTTTAATGTTAAGGTTTGACAGCATTGCACTGTGCTGTTCTGGCCCATAATGCTGTGTTGCATGAGCTGCAGAACAGTCAGCCACCTCACTCCCCTGAGGTCCAGGAGCTTCTGTTGAGAAACAAGAGCCTGGTAGAAACCATCAAGACTCTGATACAAATGGGAGCCTCTGTTGAAGCTAAAGTAAGTAAAATGGCTTGTCTGAAGCGTTAGATCCAGAGAGAATGTGGGGGAAAAAAAACATGTCCTTTTCTCCTATGCCACATTTCAGTGTTATTACAAAGGAAGTAGACTAATTTGAAAGCTTCCCTACATCTTAATTTACCTGAGTGGAATGAGAATGTTGCCTTTATTCAGAGCAAGGTATTATTGATGTAGATGAACCCTGGAGAAAAAGGGAGGTGACAGTCTTAATTTCTGGATTAAGAATGATGCTATGCTGGCTGCAGTTGATTGTGTCTTAAAAGTAAGAGTATGTTTGGAGCACTCTGAGGTGTATCCATAGTAATAGGGTGCTGGTGATTACTTTGTTCTTGAGCTGCAAATTTTAATTAAAAACTGCTGACCTGTCCAGTTTAGGTCTGTGCTGGGGCAGACATTACTTGATGTAACATTTGATATTTTTGCTATGAAAACTCGCTGCCAAATAAGATCTCTCCATTGTTCATTATGTGTTCATATTAAAATACATATTCAAATTGACTTTCAGTGAATTATTAGTATCAATATGTTTGCTCAACACTGCAGTTACTCTTTCTGTTTTGTCTGCATGTTCACCGTGAATGGGTGAACCACCTACAGGGAAGACTAACAGTTTCTTTTTTGATAGGATCGCAAAAGTGGTCGTTCAGCTTTACATTTGGCAGCAGAAGAAGCAAACCTGGAGCTCATCCGTCTCTTTTTAGAGCTGCCCAACTGCCTGTCTTTTGTTAATGCAAAGGTACAGTGATTTTTCTGGAATGCAGATATAATCTGGGATGTGCATGTGTGTGGCACTGTGAGTGTCCGGAGGCTAATGCCCTGCCTTTACTTCATGGACTTACTTTGTCTTCTTCAGGCTTATAATGGCAACACAGCACTCCATGTGGCTGCCAGCCTGCAGTATCGGGTGAGTCAGTTGGATGCTGTGCGTCTGCTCATGCGCAAGGGAGCTGATCCAAGTGCCAGGAACCTGGAGAATGAGCAGCCAGTTCATCTGGTTCCTGATGGCCTTGTAGGAGAACAGGTAATAAAAAAATCAAACAGCCTTCTCCTTTGCTCCCATCTGTCCCCATCTACAGAAAAGCCATATTCCTCTCTGAATTTCGGTTTTTGAGTTACAGCTTTTGTGGAAAATGCATAGCAAACACAATTTTACTCGTGGATCTTTGGCTTAAAAAGTCAGGATCAGGGAAACTGTACAAAGACCTGAAATTACAAATTTCACTTTTTTTTTTCCATCTCAAAAGCTTTTTCCTGTCAAGATAGGATTTTTCTTTGTAACCTTGCAACATATTGGAGTGTAATACACCTTCTCCTGTTCATTTCAGTATGGCCCAAGATTGTACTATTGTTGCTCTTGTCATAATTAGTAATGGCAGTTCTTAGGCCCGAGTAACAGGTGAAGAAAATCCCTCTTTCCTAGGAGCTACACAAATACATGATGAAAATGGTGACTCTTGACCTAAGTAGCTAATAACTTAAGCAACTGAGTAATTCTTTTGCTTTTCATTGATTCAAATGCTGTAAAATTGGATCAATTCTGGAGTAACTGGGCTCAGATAAATGAGGAATGCAGAACTTGGTCTAGGGTTGGGGTTGTTTTTCAGATTGACTCATGTTAGGATGATGAATGCTAATATATTTGTCTTTCTTGTCTCCAGATAAGACGTATCCTAAAAGGGAAGGCGATTCAGCAGAGGGTGTCCCCATTTTAAGCTCCATGTTCCTTGGAGTTCAGCAACTCACACTCACTGTCAGTCAGGCAGTCCTACTATATCTGTAAATAGACCATTTGCCTGGTGTGGGCAAATGTTAGTTGTTTCTATGAAACAAAAGTTTTTTGTTCACTATCATATAGTGGGTTATATAAGAATTAAAGAAAAAAAACCAAAACCCAACAAACAAACCAAAACCTAACAATCAAATTCTTCTGAGTAAATGGGAATGTTTCATTCCCAGGTATGTGGAATATTTGCCTGGATACCTAGATTTCCTAGCTATGGCAAGTCTAATTTTACAGTCTGAGACATGTCAACATTGCAGAGCGCTTTTTTTTTTTCTCACTTAAAACATTAAGTGCAAAAGAAATTAAATATTTTTAATTTGAACATTTATTTATGTAACTTTGTCGCTTTCTTCCAATAGCTCATGCAGGATTGTACATGGTCACTGTCATTATTTGTACAGCTGTATATAGTTCTAAGAATCCACTGATCATTTGGGGAATGAACTGAAGAAACAAGTTCCTTTATCTTGAACTTGCCAATTGCATGTACAGTTTTGATACTACACTAGTGCAAACAGAATTCTGTTGTTTTGAAAGGCTGAAAATCAAAAGTACCGTTACAGTGTCCATAGCATTGATTTGTGTATGCCTTTGGAGTTCTTAATGAAACACAAAAAGTTCAGAGGACTGCATCAGTTTTTCGTGTACCCAGGAGGTTTTTCTTTTGATGGGACAATAGACTGAGGGAGAAAGATCATGACTTCAGTAGTCTGTGTATAACTTTATTGTACTTCAGAGAGTATGATCTTGATTCAGTGAAAGTATTTAGCATGTACTTAACTGTTGATGCATGCTGAAATATCTCCATATTAATTGTAATACTTCAACATGTATAAGCCTTGCTAATTTCAGTAGGACTTGAGCACATGCTTAAGTAGTCTGCTAAACTGGGCTCTGGTTAATTTTAGAGACTTGGTGTTTTTCACCTTCTAAGCAGAGTTAGTCCATTTATGGTTTTACCTTATAGGTATGGTGGCTAGCCAAGTAATATTTGAACTTGATGTTTTTCTATTTTTTAATAATTATGGGTATTAATGCAAAATGTACACTTATGATGCTCTATACTTGTGTTCTGTTGGAGAAAGCTTCTCCCTGTCACTTTCTGAATGATGATGCTGGGCTGTAATCCAGTAACATGTTCTCTGTATGGTCTATGGTCTTTGCTCTTAAACTGGTTTTGCCTCACACGCAGTTCTCTGTCCTAACAGTTCAGTCTGGTTGTGCTGTTTTGACAAAGTATGTCTTGTATACAAGCTAAGTAAAAAAAAAAAAATCTGATATGCAGAGACTTAGTTGCAATGTATTTCCTGAAGGTTCTCATGTAACTTGTGATTGAATAAACATGCTAATTAAATTTTGGTGGCTACTGTCTGTGATACAAATGATAATGAAATCAAGCTTGACAGAGAAGTGTTTTAGCAAGGTAATCCTGTTGGACTGGTGAATGTTCATCCTGCTGTTTAATGCTTTCTCTTGTTTGATGCTGGTTTTGAAGCTGGTACTTTGGTGTTTTGGATCATACACCATGCAGTTGTATTGCCTCTGTACTTAGTACATGTGCCCTAAATAGAGTTAATAGTCACCAGGTTGCTGAAATTGCAGGTTGTGACCCGAACACTTCTCCCTGTATATGTGAGTGAGAGCAGCTCTGACAATGTCGTGTTTCCCCACGACTTCCTTGCCTTGGTCCTCAATTCTTACAGCTCAGGTACAAGCAGTCACCCTAGGATGGGTGGAAGTCTGCATAAGCAAATGAGAGTATACACATGGTGAAAGACTGTGCTTGCTTCACACATTAAAAAATGGTCTGAGCTGGCCATGACCTTTCAGGAGGAAGAACTGCCATCACAGACCATCCCTGCTGAGCACTGTGCTGGTGGCATGGCAACAGTCAAGAAAAGCTGGTGAAGCTTTAGGATATGAAGGAAAGGACTGAAGAGAAACGAGTGCTTCTGTGCTACTGTATAAACCTGTTGTTCACCCCTGCTTCACTGTTTTTTGTGGTTAGGGTGTCCTGTCAGATCAAAATGTTTTAGGATTGGAAGAGGCTCAGAGGTGTGGAGGATCCTCCTTGCAGGGAGCATCAGAGCAAGCTAGGGCTCTTCAGTTGCAAAAGTGATGTCTGACAGCAGGTATGACAGGCCTGCAGAGTCATGTCAGGCCAGTGAAACCGGATTGGGATGTACTACTCACTGTCTCTTCCAGTATGGGTGCTGGAGGCTGTTAATGAAGGTACTGAGTACAAAACAGACAGGATGTTTCCTTGAGATAGTAGAAGAATGTGGCAGAAACAAGACTTTTGCAGGTCCAGGGAGGGCATGGGTGTATGTTTAGAAGGAGGGCATTTTTGTGGAGAGTCATAAGAAAAACCATGTGAGGCAGTCCTCTCTGAAAGGGTGAAGTACTGTACTACAGGCTTGCCCTGCTCTCAGGGACTTGCTAATGGATGCTCTCACAGACTTGATACCAGAGTAGATTATAACCTGCGCTCAGATCCTTGCAGTTAGGCTTTAGTGGTTCATGAGTTCAGTCTGGTTCCACTGATACTGGTTGCACCTTTCATAAGAAGAAAATGTTGGAAATTCATCTTGCAGCCAGTTGAACCCTTCCTGATCCTTTGCTTGAGTGCAAAAACATGTCCCTGCAAGTCTCAAAAATGGCATTTGGTGCTGAGGTAAGGTGAAGAGGCTGAAGGTTGTTTAGTAGATGAGAGTGAGAAATGATGATAGAGACTGGAAACAGAACTGAATTTCTAGTTAAGGTTTGCAAAGGTTAAATGGCACTTCTATGTGAACAGCTAATTAGGCCTAAATTGTGTTGAACATGTTATCTGCACCTCTCACTGCAAGTGACCCTGCTGCAGGGTTTTTGGTTTGGTTTGACTTTTTTTGTGGGTTTATTTGTTTGTTTTGTTTTTTGTTTTTGTTGGTTTTTTTTTTGCTATGATACACTTGATAGTACTGCTTCCATTTCACTTCCATTTTCTTTATAGGAAGTGATACAGGAAAAATAATTGCTGATGGGATATTCGGGCCCTTCAGATCAGCCAGATGCCTGGCATTCCTTTTTTGGGTGGTGTTGACTGAGTTATCTCACAAAGGAAGGAAGTACCTTGAGTCTGTAAGGGTGGCAGAGCATAAGCATGAGTTCAGACAATCCTTGAGCATGATATAGGCTCTGCTGGTGAGAGGCATTTGGCAAGTAGCACAGTGTCAAGTGGCTTTCAGTGGCACTCATGCCGTTCTGGAAGGGGTGCTCCTGGCACTCCAAGTTAGGAAATTCCTAAGGAGACACTGAAGTGTTTGAAGTTCATTTAACCTGCCAAGAGCCTAAATTCATTGTCTCAAGAGCTCAGTAGGCAACTTCACAAAAAAGTATCTCTACTCTGAGTGTAATTGACTCATGTTTCTCCCCTATGATATTGGGAAGTTCTGGCCTATCTGCCATGATAGAACTAGATTGGAAATAATCCCCTTTCACTGAAGGGTAAGTGACACTAAGTATTTAGCAGGTTGGTAGTATTTACCTGAAAAACTCATGGTGCTGGGAAAGTGCTGAATAACTTTTATTGATGTGGATGTCAGCACACTAGTTACTTTTCTGGCTGGAGTAGAGGCAGAAGAGACTCTGGCTTGGGTCCAAGTAGGAATATTAAGACACATGGAGCTTTGTTCCCAGAATGTTTCTGATTTGTTTGTCTAAGTGAGCCAAAAAAGGCAACCCAAAAGGGTTGCTTTTTTATTTTTGTGGGCTACTCATATGGCTGGAGTTGTGGAAGGCAGCAATCCACAATTTAAAAGAAACGTGTTCTGCTTCTGGGGATGGAAAAATACAATTTCCCACATTTATTGCTCATTTTATAATTTTATCAGAAAAGAAAAACATAGCCAGTAAGTGCACTCTTACAGAGATTGGGTGTGGTAAAAGCGACTGCAAAGATAGGACACGAACTGCTTGTTCTTCTTGCCTGATAGTTTGCTTATCTGGTTGCCTTTCTTTTCAAAATATAGGTGCTCCCCTGTGTAAGGGAAATGCTGAGGGTGGTTAAAGTGCAGTGAACATGGGAAAATAAAGAATGGGTTCCTGCAGTTATGTATTTGCCAAAAATTGACCTTGATTTTCAGTGCATTCAAAACAAATTCTTCTGTTGCTATCTATTACCTTTCTTAAGTGTTTGGTGGTGATATTGGCCTGAGATACTGGTGCCTTGGGAGAGTCAAAACCGACTCCTCACCAGGTTGGTTAAGTGTCATACAGCCTCCAGTAGCTACCTTTCACTTTTTATGATTAAGACAAGGACAGTGCCAGCAATGCTGATTCTGGCACTGGCCTGCACCTGGGTTTAGAAAGGCAAGTGTCACCCCCAGACATCAGGGCAACTTTGAAGCATCATCTCAACTCCCTTCCCCACTGCCCCCAGGCCTGCATCGAGGGCTCGCCTGGCAGAATTTTGCTACTTTGAGAGGAAGCCTTTCTTAGTATGCTTTATTAGAATTTCTTACAATTTATTTTAGAAGATAAAACACCAACCTTGACAGGAGAAAGGTTTAGTTTTCTCAAGGGATGGACTGCTGATGTTTCTGCCTCTAAATGAGGCAGAAGTAGTCCTTAAATGAGTTGCATATGACAGGTGGCCTTGCTATCTGGGAATGTTCATCCATATACAAAACCCGTATGTGCAGTTACATTTCCTGGCAGAATTTAACGAGTATTGTTGACTAATGGACCAGTGTTCAATCTTAAAGCATTTCATTAGATCCTATCACTGTTAGCAAAAAAATTCAAGACAGCACTAGTGAAACTCGTTACTGTGCTAGTGCAGAGATGCTATACCAGAAGTTACCTCTTTTCAGGTAGTTGGATTTGGGGGTTGGTTTCTCCTGCAGGTGCCTATCTTGGTCTTGCTGGAGAAGAAAGGTAATATATCTTGGGCTGTGTTTGTTTAGTGTGTATTTATTTTCAGCTCTCGTGATTAAGAGGCTGACTCTGTAAGTCTTTGTTTTGCTCTTAGCTCTGAAAATGTGATCTAAGCTGGTTTGATAAGGTGGTTGCTGTACTAACCAACTTACACTTCATGTGGTTTTCCTCTTAGTTACTGGTGAAATTTCTCCCTTCCCCTTTGTTAGTCAGAAACCCTGAGGGAAAGATGACTAAGATGGTGTTTAAAATTTAAGAGGGGGAGCAAGTAATTGAAAGAAGTTGTCCTTTGCTTCTGTAAATCTGTCTGGACTGCAAGTAAGACTATGGAGATCCTGACTGAACTGTCTTCATGTGGATGCAGTGCAGAGATGCTTTCACATATGTTTAATGAAAGCCTCTAGCTCTGTTCAGATGGTCTTGGTCTTGTGACATTTCGGTACCATAGTAGATACCATTTGGTAGGTCATGTACCAAATGGTGCATGTTGGCTGCCTGTGGCTGGCTTTTAGGCCCCAAATAAAAGATCTCTTCAGCAGTGTTGACCTCTTTCCATCAACATGACCTAGGAGAGATGTAGAAGTTGGATCATTTCAGTCTGTGGCTCACTGGGACAGCCTTCGATCACTGCTCGTGTGGCTCTTGAGGGCTTTCTGAGGAGGCCCAGACCTGCTCTGTAAGCTTCAAACTCAGGCTTGCCATAAGAAAGGACTGGGACTACATAAACACTGCTGTTTGTGGCCAGCCAATAGACCCTGCGGAGCTGAGCAGGTACATCTTATTATCCTCTGGTAGACCACAGGTCTTTGCCCAAGGACTTTCACTCTGCTAAAAACAGCCTAGTAAGTGATGTCAATAAATTTGCGGTTTCTGTAAGAATTGGAAATTTGAGGTCACACCAATGCAAGATATTTAGAGATGCTTACAGTGCTACCTGTGACCTTGTCCTTCGCACAGGGCTGCAGCTGGGCATAGTGTGTAGGAGTAAGAGCTGGGTCACCAGTGCAGCCTATGTGCATTTTGAGGGGAAGTGTTTTAGGAGCAATTTGAGGAGAAACATCAAGACAGTAGTGTGCTTTTATCACTCTTCATCAGTAGATTTCCAGGTGGCTTCAAAAGCCAGCAATAGTCACTAATCCCATCAGTTAAATAAGAAGCCAGAGGTAGAGAGAAAAGGCTCATCTGAAGATACTCAAAGAACCACAGGAGCTTCATCCAAAGGTAGTGCAGGCCTGCAATAGTTGCCTACTCTTTCTGAGTTTGCTGAATAATGTGGTGTGCAATGACTGATCTGTAAGTCATTCAGTATCCTTTTATAAGTAATTCACATTTAATTCATGGTTTTTGTGCACTCAGTTCAGAGACCTTGCCTGGGATACTGCTTTTGCTCACTGCTGGGATTGCCAGGCTGTTCAGATCAGCCATTGGATGGAACCT